CTAATGGCTAATGACTTTAAGCATCTTTTCATGAACTTAATGGCCATTTATATATCTTATTGAGGAAATGTCTATTCTGATCCTTTGTTCATGTAACATTGATAAAATTATAATTAAAGATAAAATTATTTATCTTTTTATTATTGAGTTGTGAGAGTATATATTCTGGATACAAGTCTCTTATCAGATACATAATTTACAGATATTTTCCCCTTTCGTAAGTTATCTTTTTACTTTCTTGAACCGTGAGGAACTCTATAGAAAAACAACTATCCTGGCTTTCATTTGCAAACCATGTTCAAGATATAAATTGAAAAAAAAAAGTAAAATTGATGAGAGTGACTCTAGAATCTGGAAAATGGTTGCCCTGTGACAGTCCACTTATTTATAAGCTTAGAGCCAGGCCTCATCATCTTCACAAGTTAGCATCTGCCAGTGCCAGACATTTGATGGTCACAAATGTTTGTTAAGCTTTTTACCTACAATGGTCTACACAGACTTTAGATTTAAAAGTTGAAATCCTGGATAAATCAAGTAATAGTCTGACATAGTGTATTCCTGTGCTTTTGTTTCCTCCTCCGTAAAGTAGAAATAATAGACTTAAAAAAAATTTACCGGGGCCGGCCGAGTGGCGCTATGGTTAAGAACTGCCTTGGGACGCCAGAGGGCCCCGGTTCGGATCCCACATATGAGGGCCAGTGACACTGCCCTCTACAGCTAAGATGCTGAACAATAGCTCAATCTGGAGCTGGGCTGCCGTGAGTTGCTGTGCAAAAGCTTTTTACTTTGATATAAGTCCCATTCATTTATTTTTGCTTTTATTTCCCATGCCTTTGAGGTCAAATTCATAAAATCCTCTCTGAGACCAAGGTCTATAAGTTTAGTACCTATGTTTTCTTCTATGAATTTTACTATTTTAGGTCTTCTATTTAGGTCTTTGACCCATTTTTAGTTAATTTTGGTAAACAGTGACAGATAGGGGTCTAGTTTCATTCCTTTGCACATGGCTTTCCAATTTTCCCAGCACCATTTATTGAAGAGGCTTTCTTTTTTCCATTTTTCCATTATATGTTTTGGGCTCCTTTGTTGAAAATTATTTGCCCATATATATGTGGATTTATTTCTGGGTTCTCAATTCTATTCCATTGGTCCGTGTATCTGATTTTTCTGCCAGTACCATGCCGTTTTGATTATTGTCGCTTGGTAATATAATTTGAAGTCAGGGAATGTGATACTTCTGGCCTTGTTCTTTTTCTCAGGATTGCATTGGCTATTCAGGGTCTTTGTGATTCCATTCATATCTGATGATTATTTGTTGTATTTCTTTAAAAAATGCTGTTGGAATTCAATGGGGCTTGCATTAAATCTGCATATTGCTATGGGTAACATGGCCTTTTTAAGCATGTTGATTCTTCCAATCCATGAACACGGATTATCTTTCCATTTCTTTGTGTTTTCTTCAATTTCTTTTAATAATGTCTTGTGGTTTTGAGTGTATAGGTCCTTCACATGTTTTGTTAAGTTTAGTCCTAGGTATTTTATTCTTTTTGTTGCAATTGCAAAAGGAATTGTTTCCTTCCATTTCATTTTCTGATATTTCATTGTTCGTATATAGGAACACAATACTCATAAGGGATCCAAACCAGCGCCCTGCTGCTCAGAGCTGGTGTCCTAAAGCCAACTTTTAACCAACGTGCCACTGGGCTGGCCCTATGTTACTTATTTTTTTTTTTTGCCTTCTGATCACATCTATATGTATGCTTATTTTTCTTTCCCCTACATTTTATTATGAAAAAATTCAAAGACATAGCACATTTAAAATAATTTTATAGTAAATGCTTGAATATCCACCATCTAGATTCTGCCATTACCATTTTACTCTACTTAAAAAAATGACATATGTATCCACCTATCCATTTTATTTTTGACGCATTTTGAAGAAACTGCAGACACTAGTACTCTTCTTTATAAATATTCCAGCTTGCAGTTCTTTATCTAGACATCAATATTTGTTCACAGTTTTTTTAAATGCAAAATTTAGATCCATAGAAACACAAATCTTAAGTGTACATTTGCTGAGTTTTGACACATGCATATAACTGCATAACCCAAACTATCAAGATATTATGCAGATATTTCAACTTCTTGGGAATGTGTCTAATTCATCCTTAAATACCCGGCTCTTAGGTGAATATTCTTGCATAAAATCAGTGCTCAGTTAAGTGCTATTTGAAATAAATGAATTGATGGAACAGAAGCCTCATATTTAATATGGTACTGATAGGAAAAGCTGACCCTGTCCCTTTAAAGTGCACACTCCACCCACCCCAGACTCACACTCTGGAGCCTCTCTTCTTTCCCCTTGCACATTCCCAGTGTTCTGATATGTTTTCTTCTTTCCTCTCATCTAAATTGCTCTGAAAAAAGATCTGACTTGCAACTTGGTGTGAATCTAAGTTACTGTGTTACCTTGCTCAATAGCCTTTGAGCCTTAATGCTTATGATGAAGGGCATAATTCTAAACCCTGTTAATGTAACTTCTCTCATGGCAGAAACCATAGGAACATTTTGGGGAAGAGGTGCTTCTCAGTGATGTTAAAATTCTGTTAAAACTGAACTGCCGATAAAGAATCTGGACAGTCTTGCAGGTCCTCAAAAGCTTAAACATAGAGGTGCCCAGCTTCTCAACTCCTGGATATACAGAGGGTGACAAATATATATATACATATACATATATATATATATGTATATATGTATATATATTTTAAGAAAGGAAAAACTATTAAAATTATAATACTCAATATATACTGATAACAAAAGATGAATACAAGTCATGTTTGACTTCTGCAATTACAAGAGGTGTTCAAAGTGGTTACCATCAGCGTCCAGACACTTCTGATTATGGCGAACTATTGCTTGAGCAAAGTTGACCAAAGTGTCCACTTGTATACATTTTTTTGGCACCCCCAGTATACCCAAGAGAGTTAAAAATATACATCCACACAAAAACTTGTGCGCCAAACAAAAAAAACAAACAAAAACTTGTGTGCAAATGTTCATAGCAGCATTACTCTTAATAACCAAAAAGTGCAAACAAACCAAATGTCCATCAAACGATGAATGAATAAACAAAATGTGATACATGACACAGTGGAATATTATTCAGCAATGAAAAGGAATGAAGCCCTGATACATGCTACAATATGAATGGACCTTGGAAACATTATGCTGAGTGAAAGAACCCTTACACAAAAAACCACATGATTCCATTTGTACGAAATATCCAGAATAGATAAATCCATAGAGACAGAAAGTAGAGTAATGGTTGCCAGGGGCTTGGGAGTGGGATAAATGGAGAGTGACTGCTAACGGATACAGGGCTTCTTTTGGGAATAATGGGAATGTTCTGGAATTGGACAGTAGTGATGGTTGCACAACCTTGTGAATATGCTAAAAACCACTGACTTGTATACTTCAAAATGGTAAACTTTATATTATATGAATTATGTTTCAATCTAAAAAAAGAAAGATTACAGGGAAGGATGAATCCAGGGCAGGAAAAGCAATGGAAACACTGGTCAAGACTGGTGAGGGGGGCAGTCTCCTGTGGCACCAGGGGTTCTTTGGTCAACAACAGATGAAAGTCTAAATGTGTGTTTATAAGACCTGTTTCTTCATATTATACCAACCATAGGTACATATCACTCTCCAAGCCTGCAAACATGTATGAGAATGGGAGCTCCCAAATTATAAAGCATCTATGGTATACAAATGAAAAGGCTACTAAGATCTCTGTTATGCTATTTGGTATACAAGGAGTGGAAATTTGCTCAGGCAACTTCAAGAAAAGGGAAATTTGTTCTGAGTCTCATAGAAGCCACTGCAAGTCAGAAGCACTGTGGGAACCAGCTCTTCTGTTCCTGCTATGTGGGCATTTTTACTTCTCTTTCCCTGTCTGCACCTCTTGTCTCTTGCTCCTGACTGGCAGATTCACTCCATACTCTGCAGGCCAGATCCCAGAGAAAACAGAAGGAATCAGTTTTGCTAACAGTCAGGCAGCCTGTCTCCATCTAGTCTTGTCCTCTACCCCGTCACACCAACCCACAAATCCTATGGTTGAGAAAGGGCTGGGGGCATCTACACAACCCTTTCTCTGTGAAATCAGTATTTACAGAATAACTCCATTAGTTCTAAATGTTGTAAATTCCCAGATTTTATGCTTATGGAATGTTTTCCACACATATATATGCATTTTTAGAGTTGTAGACTAAAAACATAAAAGCACCCCATTTCTTGCTGCCCTAAGAGTCATATTAAACAACTAGTTAAATACAGTTTTTGTTATTGAAATGGCAAACATATCTAGAACTTGATTAACATTCTCCCGCGGGATCATTATTCTCTAATAGATATAGAATGAATCTAAAATAGCAAAAGAAAACAGTAAAATAAGCGTTTCAGAGAGAAACAGTCAGTCATGGCACCAGAGTCCTTTACTTGTTTCTTATTTCTCTTCATTACATTTTTCATCAACTATTTATGCATTATATTAACTACTATCTACTTTCAAGGCTCTAATCTACTTCTAATGTGTATTACTTATTACTTTAAGTAAGAGATAGGGCTTGATTGCATATGTTAATATTATTTTAAAATGTAATTCAGTGGCCTCTGTTCCAAAATTAAAATAACAAATATCTAAGTACGTTGTAATTTACGGATATGCCCATAACCCTATAGAAGCAAAAAAATGAATAGAACTGAAGACAATGATCAGGATAAAATGAATACAACATGTTTCTGGTTCTTCCTTGAAACTGATTCCGATTGGATTTTCAATTTTCCAAGTATTAAACATGACTCATTTTTAAAGTTGATTTCTGTAGTAAGATATTAATTATTTGTTCCTTGCATTTAAGAGATGTCAGTAATCCTGGGAGGGCAGCACAACCTCACATACAATTCTATCTTCTAAGAGGCCTGGCTCAGACCCGACTTACTACTGTGCGCAGTCGATCAGCTGATACTCATTGGACCGCTCAAAGCATGCCTTCACGCCTTCATCATCCCAAAGTTTCTTCACATGATCAAAGAATTCCTAAAATTTGAAAAAGTTACAAATAAAAGAACATTTGTATTATCATCTTTCAAAAAGTTAAAAGTAAAAAGAAACTGCCTCCCAAATTTTGCAGGCAGCATATGAATTATTTTCTTTGCAGAAATCTACACACAGTAAAATGCACAGATCTCGCATTCAGTGTGAGGAAAAATGGATGCACCTGTGTTATCATCAACTTGTCAAGCATTCTTATCATTCCAGAAAGTTTCCCAAAATGAAAATTACAAGTCAAATGTTAATGACATTCATTAGCTAGAAATAAAACTAACAATTTTAAAGTTCTCAGTACTCAATAACTTTACTAGTGGAACGGACACTTCAGCAAGGAAAAAATATGTCTATAATGTTAAGTTCTGTTCTAGCTGGTGTCTTTTAAAATTTCTGTGTGAGCCATGATTATGAATAGACATGGTTAATTAGATAGGTTAAATTTGGCCCAGGAGCATTATGTACTTTACAAAGAGACCTCTAAAATCATACTCTTTGGGGGATAGTAATTGTGTTTTTCATTTTTAAAAACTATGATTTTAGTGTAAACTGTGATTTCTGGATCACTCAAATCTGTGAGGGCACAGTGTTCAATTTCATCCATTATGATAAGCAGCATCCTCTGAAACAAGAACATTCCTTATCTCAAAGTAAAAGATGGTTTTAGGAATTCATATCTCCAAAATTATCCAAATTAACTTAGAGCTATGGAAGCAAATGACTACACATAGTTGCTAAATATAAATTTTCACAAAACACTATGCTAGAATATTTATATCTCTTCCCATATCAGTCATTTGCCCCTCATGGCAACCCCAGGAAGCACCCATCTCCATCTTTGATCTGATAGAAGGGTCTGGGGCTTCATGGCCAGTAAGCAGCTGAAGCCTTTATGTTCACCATGGCTGCCACACTCCCTAAGAATCAGCATAGGACTGGCAGAGTGGCTCAGTTGGTTAAGAGTTAGCTTAAGAGCACAAGCTCTGAGCAACAGGGCCGCCGGTTCAATTCCCACATGGGCTAGTGATGCTGCGCCCGAGTTGAGCTGCTGCTGAGCTGCCAACAGGTGGCAGGATGGCTCAGCTGGTGAGAGCAGTGCTCCTAACAACAAGACTGCCTGTTCAATGGTGGGCTACGCCCGCCCGCAACTAAGACTGAACTTGACACCTTGAGCTGAGCTGCCACCCAGATGGCTCAGTGGACAAAGTGTGCACTCTTAACAACAAGGCTGCCGGTTTGACTCCCTCATGGATGGTGGCTACGCCCATCCGCAACTAAGATTGTAACACAACACCTTGAGCTTAGAGGCCATGAGATGCTGACGGGCAGCCAGATGGTGTCTGGCAACTTTCACAACTAAGATTGAAGAACAACAACTTGGGCTGGTCCCCCTCCCCAATTCCCCAACACTGTTCCCCTCTCCCAATTCCCCAATTAAAAAAGAAAAGAATCAGCATAGATTCTTTAGAAGAAAAAAATTAAGGGTGGCTATTTTTCTTAGGGATTCACAATTCCTTACAAGGCTGAATCCAGGTATTGTGGGCCTGATGCCTATAAAATTTGGAGGCCCACTTTGAAAAAAGAAAAACAAAATTATAAATACAAGTAGGTACAAAACTTTGGAAGGGAGAGTAGGAAGGAAGGGCCCTGAGCTTAAGTTTCTTTAGGTTCTAGTACGTACTGTTCTGACTTCCCAGTATCAGGAACAATCTTCTTTTTTTTTAAATTAAAGTTTATTGGGGTGACAATGGTTAGTAAAGTTATATAGGTTTCAAGTGTCCAATTCTGTAATACATCATCTATATATCACATCACATTGTGTCTTCACCACCCAGAGTCAGCTCTCCTTCCATCACCATATATTTGATCCCATTTACTATCATCTACCACCCTCCTCCCCGCTTACCCCCATTAAACTATTGTCTATGTCTACGAGTTTTTGTTTCTTTGTTTGTCTTGTTCCTTTGTTACTTTCAGTTTTATATCCCACATATCAGTGAAATCATATGGTTCTCGACTTTTTCTGACTTAGTTTGCTTAGCATAATAATCTCCAGATCCATCCATGTTGTCACAAATGGCACCATTTCATCTTTTCTTACAGCAGAATAGTATTCCATTGTGTACATATACCACATCTTCTTTATCCAATCATCTACTGAAGGACACTTGGGATGTTTCCATGTCTTGGCCACCGTAAATAAAGCTTCAATGAACATCAGAGTACATATATCTTTATGGATAAATGTTTTCAGATTTTTTTCAGTAGATACCCAGGAGAGGGATTGCTGGGTCATATGGTAATTCCATTCTTAATTTTTTGAGGAACCTCTATACTGCCTTCCATAGTGGCTACACCAATCTACATTTCCACCAACAGTGTATGAGAGTTCCTTTTTCTCCACACCCTCTCCAACACTTGCTATTATTTGTCTTATTGATGATAGATATTCTAACTGGTGTGAGGTGATATCAAAATTAACTCAAAATGGATCAAAGACCTAAGCACAAGACCTGAAACGGTAAACTGCATAGAAGAAAACATAGGTACTAAACTTATGGACCTTGGGTTCAAAGAGGATTTTATAAATTTGACCTCAAAGGCAAGGGAAATAAAAGCTAAAATAAACAAATGAGACTATATCAAACTAAAAAGCTTCTGCAAAGCAAAAGAAACCATCGACAAAATAAAGAGGCAACCAACCGAACGAGAGAAGATTTTTGCAAACAACACCTCTGATAAGGAGCTAATATACAAAATATATAAGGAACTCATACAGCTTAACAACAAAACAACAAACAATCCAATTAAAAAATGGGCAGAGGGGGCCGGCCAAGTGTCGCGGTGGTTAAGAGCTGGCTTGGGATAGCAGAGGGCCCCAGTTCGGATCCCACATATGAGGGCCAGTGACACTGCCCTCTACATCTAAGATACTGAACAGCAGCTCAACCTGGAGCTGGGCTGCGGTGAGTTGCTGGCGATGGCGTAGGCTGCAGCCACTGCTGCAGTGAGTTGCCATGGGCTACCGTGTGTAGCCAGCAGCCAGCATGAGTGGCCAGCAGCTGCAGTGAGCAGCCGTCCAGAAGCCGGCGACTGATCTGCCTCACCTGGGAAGAGCGCAATGATGGTACCAACGTGGGCTAGTGAAGCAATGTCCTCCACAACTAGACTGAAGAAAAAAAGGACAGCAACTTGTCTGTTCCCCTTCCGCCAATTCCCCAGCACTGTTCCCATCCCCCAATTCCCCAATAAAAATCTTAAAAAAAAAATGGGCAGAGGACCTAAATAGACATTTCTTCAAAGAGGACATACAGATGGCCAATAGATTTATGAGAAGATGCTCAACATCACTAATCATCAGAGGAACCACTTTTAAAGTTATGTCACATGTCTCTATATCTATCATCTGTTGGCCTGTCTGTCATTGTGATCAACAGATCCAAACTGTCCACAGTTGACAAAGAAGGGACAATCTCTATATGAAGGAGAGTAGTTGAACGCCTCTGTTTTTATCTTGTCTCTCTAGATTTGTTTCTTTCTGGAATCTCCCACTGCTATTCCTAACAGTTTCATGAAGTTTGTAGGCTTTCCTTCTATGAGCCATATGAAAACACACACACACACACACACACACACACACACACACACACACACCATGTCCCAAGAGAAATACTCCTTTAGACTATTCTTGAGATGGTCTTTGCAGATAGCCATAACCCCCGAGTCATGGTGCTATTCAGAGTTGAGCTCCATCACTACTTCCCACGACCCACTGCAAAACCCTGGTACAGTGGTCACTTGGAATAAAGTTCCTGGCTGTCTTTAACAAGTGTCAGAATCATTTTTTCTTTAACAGTCTGAGCTAAAGCCTTTGAGACAGAATTTCAGAGAAGTGCTTGATCCAAGATTTCTGGGGTACATGTTGACAGCAGTAACAAGGCAGGAATTGTAGGCACTGTGATTTAAAAATAGATGCTTTGGACACCACCCAAAAGGCATCAAAGCAACAATCTCTCTTTGCTTCAGCTACCTGGTTGGTAAACAAAACTGTTGTACTAGAATATAGCTGAGTCCCCAAGATTCTCCATGTGTACTTCTTAAGGGGTTCTAAAAACTGCATGTAAAATTCCAGGAATGCTGCTGCTATTGCTTTGTTAACATTTTACTAGGAAAAAAATCCAAACTTACAAAAGTAGAGAAAAAGACCCCCCAGGCACGCATCCTTAGCTTCCTCATTTATCAACTTACCGCCAATTTTCTTTTATCTCTATCTCATGCCCTTTTCCCCACTTTTTTTTTTTTTATATATGAATTTGGGGCAAGTAGTGATTGAGGATGGCTTAAGGCAAACCATGAGAGTAGGCCCATTTCTTTTATTTCATTGCACTATTTCTTTTCTTTTTTTTTTTTTTTTTTTAAAGATTTTTATTGGTGAATTGGGGGGATGGGAACAGTGCTGGGGAATTGGGGGAAGAGGGACAGACAAGTTGCTGTCGTTTTGTTCTTCAGTCTAGTTGTGGAGGATGTTGCTTCACTGGCCCAAGTTGGCACCATCATTGCGCTCTTCCTGGGTGAGGCAGATCAGTCACCGGCTTCTGGACGGCCGCTCACTGCGGCTGCTGGCCGCTCACGCTGGCTGCTGGCTACATACGGTAGCCCATGGCAACCCACTGCCACAGGGACTGCAGCCCACGCCGTCGCCGGCGACTCACAGCAGCCCAGCTCCAGGTTGAGCCGTTGTTCAGCATCTTAGCTGTAGAGGGCAGTGTCACTGGCCCTCACATGTGGGATCCGAACCGGGGCCCTCTGGCATCCCAAGCGAGTTCTTAACCATCGCGCCACTCGGCCGGCCCCCTTTTCCCCACTTTTATTGTTTTGTAGCAAATCTCTTATACCATATTGTTTTATTTAAACATTATTTCTAAAAGATAAAGGCTTTTAAAAATCATGGCCACAATGCAACTCTCTCAACTAAAAATACATAAACAAAT